AAACAGTGTTGGATATTGGATTTTGTCAGATCCTTTCCCTCATTTATTAAGATAATATGCTTTTTCTCTTCTAGCTTGTTAACATGGCATAAAGTTGTTTGTAATATTCCCTTATACTTCTAATATCCATAGAATCTATAGAATATCACTAATCTCATACCTTTGTTTTCTTTTCTTCCCTTCCTTTCCCTTCCCTTCCCTTCCCTTCCCTTTCCTTTCCTTTTCCTGATCTGTATGGCTAGAGGCTTATCAATTTTATTAACCTTCTCAAAGAACAGCTTTTAATTTCATTCATTGTCTCTTTTCTATTTCAATGATTTTTCACTATGATCTTTATTATTTCCTTTCTTCTGCTTACTTTGGGTTTAATTTGCTCTTTTTTTCCCCGATTTATGGTGGCGGTTGAGATCATGTATTTGAGACCATTCTTTTTTTCTATTATAGGTGTTTCATGGTATACATTTCTAAGTACTACTTTAGTTAGCAATCTCCCACAAATTTTGACAGGTTGTGTTTTCATTTTCATTGGATCAAATTCAATTTCTCTTTTTTTTTTTTCAATTTCTCTTTTGATTTCTTCTTTGTTATATGGCTTATTTAGAAGTCGGTTCATAAATATTTGGCAATTTTCCAGATACCTTCTTGTTAATTTCTAATCTAATTCCACTCTGGTCAGACAACATACCTTGCGTGACTTGAATATTTTTAATTTATTAAGTCATGTTTTATGGCCCAGAATATGGCCTATTGCGGTAAATGTTTCATATGTAATTGAAAAGAATATGTATTCTGGTATTGTTGGCTGGAATTTTCTAGAAATGTCCATTAGGTTAAGTTGGTTGTTCATACCTTCTATATGCTTGATGATTTTTTTTTTTTTGCCTACTTGTTCTATCAATTATTGGAAGAGGGTATTGAATTCTCTGACTCTAATTGTGTATTTGTTTATTTCTCTTTGCAATATTAACACTTTTAGGTTCATGTATTTTCAAGCTTTTTTTTAAGTGCAAAAATGCTTCAAATTTTTAGGTTCTTCTGTTGAATTGACTCTTTATCACTATGAAATAAACTTCTTTATCCCTGGTAATATATTTTTGCTCTGAAATCTACTTTGTTTGGTATTAATATAGCCAGTGCAGTTTTAATTTGACTGGTGTTAGCATGGTATATCTTCTTCTTTTACTTTTAACTTATTTTATCTTTATATTGTGCATTTTTTGGTAAGACTTGATGATCTAGAGAGATTCTTTGTGGTGGTTTAAAGATATGTCCACATATCACTTGATACTCCTCCCTTTAAGAGGTAGAACTTAAATTCTCTCTCATTGTGCGCAGTCTGGACTTAGTGACTTGCTTCTAATGAATAGAAGAATATGGAAGAAGTGATGATGTATCACTTCTAAGCCTCGGTCATAAATGGCATTGCAAATTCCTTCTTGCTGTCTCTCTGGGATCCCTTGTTCTGGTGGAAACCATGTTCTATGTTATGAAGATAACTCAAACAGTCCTCTGGAGAGGCCCATGTGCCAAGGAACTGAGAGGCATCCTGACAATAGCCAGTAAGGAACTAAGGCTTTCTACCCTTAGCCTTGTGGCTGCACCATCTTGAAAATAGATCCTCCAGCCTTAGTCAAGCCTTTAGATGACTGCACCCTTGGCCGACATCTTGACTGTAATCTCATGAAAGACCCTGAGCCAGAATTGCCAGATAAGCTGCTCCTAAATTCCTGACCCTCACAAACTATGAGATGATAAACGTCTACTTTTTAGGCCATTAAATTTGTTATGTAGCAGTAGAAAACTAGTATATCCTAGGATCATACAGATCCTTCCAGTTTATGATTCTAGCGTTTAAGTGAAGAAGGATGTGTCTCTAGTTGCCTATTGCTTTTACTAGCACTTTACAAACCGCTTTGCCTGTTGTATTTTAAAACTTTTCCTTGAAAAGTCTGCATTCCATACAACAAGGCATTTTAGGCAGAAAATTAAATAACATTTTGAATAGAGATATTTTTCAACTGGATATTTACTGTTTTAATAGCTTATGTGATTTAATAAGATGAGGCCTTACCCAGTCAATGGATGATTACAAAATGAACACACTACCCACATCTACCACCAGATCAAGAACAGAATTGTGTTTTATTAATAAACAATAATGTGGGAATTCCCTGGCAGTCCAGTGGTTAGGACTCCGTGCTTTCACTGCAGTGGGCCTGGGTCCAATCCCTGGTTGGGGAACTAAGATCCCACAAGCCACACAGCATGGCCAAAATAATAATAATAATTAAAAAAAAATAATTCTTAAAAAAAGATGAGGCCTTGGGAAATTTAACACTTGCCATAGAGCTCTGAAGGAGAGAAGAGCTCTTAGGTCCTTGGAGGGCCAACAGGAGCTATGTGGACTCCTTGGCATTGTATGCAATGTGTTGTGTCAAGAGCATCTTTCTAAGAAAGAATGTGTATAGCTTTTACCAGATTTTCACAGAGTCTTGCCCCCACATCAAAAAAAAAGAGTTAAGAACCACTTATTTGGTTCCCATTGCCACCTATGAGAATTCAAGTACAGAGAGGTAAGTGAATTACCTACGGTTAGAAACAGAGACTTTCTCATTCTTAACTCAGGGCTCAAACTCCAATCTGAGAGATGAATTCTACCCACCAGAGACAGCTCAGAGCAGAACTGGTCTTTACAATGCTCTCAAGTGCCCAGACCCTCAAGACAAATCTTTACATGTATTATTTTGCTGTTGCATATCTCCTGCTTGTTTAACTCATCAAGCTGCTTCAAGAAGGGGGTGGAATGGATCTTCTCCAAAAGATGTCCCCTTGCTGGCAGATCTTTTATCTTGGTGCCGTTCAATTTTGCCCTTATATTGAAGCACACAGAAGCTCAGCCAAACTCCTCCCACACCCACACCCCCCGCCATGGTATCTGCTAGAATACAGCATTACTCTGTGGAGGAAACACAGTGTATTTTCTCTGACATGATTCCTGTAAGCATATCACTTACATGTTTCCTCAATAGTTTTTGAAACCTTCACATCTTTGCAATAACTGTTATCCATCTCTTTCTGAACTAAGCCAGATATGAATGTTATCACCATAATAAATTAAAAGATTTGGGTTGAAGAGTCAAAAATCAAAGTTAATTTCTAGTATTTATGTTAGTTCAAGATACATTCTGCTTATTTAGAAATTAGAAATTGCTAAGAAGCATCCACGGTTGCTCAAAAAACAAGTATAAATACTTGAATGGAGAGCTAGAACGTATCTTGCAGTCTTCTTATATCTTGCACAGTGCTGGTCATTCGTCAGATTCTCTCCAAATACTTCATCACCAGTAGTGTTGAGCAGTCATCCTGAGCAAGCCTGGCTGATTAAAGCCAAGTGAGCCCATGTTCTAAATGGCCAGGCCTAAAGGAAAGAGAGTAGGAAGTCCTGGTGTTACCACTGACTTTTACATCTTAAGCTATCTACACTTCAGCTTTCCGAAGACATTCACCCCTATAGATTTGCCATCTATTCCCACCAACCCCATGCACTCTAGGACACAATCTTTTTGCTTTGGTCAAATCCAAATCCAAGAAGCCATGACTGAAACTACAGTCCTGGAGAAACTAGACTGAAGAAACTAGGCTGAAGAATTGTGCTGATGCCACGAACTGCCCAGACCTAAGCCTGACTCCTGGCTGTCCCTCCTCCGGCTTAGCTCCAGAAGACAACTGCTGCGAGCAGATTCCTGGGCTTGGCCAAATGACCTAGTGTGGTCCTGGCCACCATTCAGGGCCTCTGAGAGAGCACTGCGCCTCCTCCTCAAAGGTGGAAACAGAGACCCAGAGCCTTGGAATCATTCCCAGGATCTCTGAATGCAAATGTTTTCAGCAAATTCAGCATTCAATCCTAACTTGTGAAACAGTCTTGTAGCACTAAGATAAATTTAAATGGCTCAAGTGTTAATCGGGTGTGTTTATTTTTCCATAAACAGAAAGACGTGGGAATATTTGGCAGGAGGAAAGGACATATTTTATGTTTCGGTGATTTTCTTAAAAAGTAAAAACAACTCTATATTTTAAAGCAATTCTAAACAGATCACCCTTTCTGAGGAATGACAGGAAAATCCTCTGACAAGGAAATTAAGTTTATTTTTAAACTTCCAAGCAGTTGAATTTAATTATAGATGGCAGCAAAGAGCAGAGGAAAGATCCTTAAAAGTTTTTAAAAGAAAGACTAAGGTAAAGTTTTCTAAAGGATGTATTCAACATTGTATACATATATATGCATAGACATAGACATAGACATATATATATGGACATATACACACACACACACACACATATATATATATATATGGAGAAGAAAGAAAAGGAGAGAAAAACACTTTTGGTGGTGTTCTTTGAATCTACCCAGAAACTCTTTCATCTGGAAGTATGGAATTTCATTAAAATGAGTAATTTAGGAAGACAAATGTGGTTTTGGTGATTGTCTCAAGAAAACACGCCAACTTTTTACCTTGAGAGAGACATGTAGCTTAACAGACAAAATTAGTCATATTAGGCTATGATCATTTTTGCTATCTACATATTGCTTCAGGTGGGATTTTCAAAGCAGAGTCAAATTTTATACAATGAGATGACAAATTATTTTTATAATAGTAATACTAACATTTAAAATGATGACTTTTACTAGGAGAGCTGTCTAAATTTCAGTTTTTTAAAGGATTAGATACTTTGATTTTGCATGCAGAAGATGCCAAGTATGTATTGAATATGAATTACAAAGCAATATTAAAAGGAAAATACACATAGCAGAAAATATGAAAGTAGGTAAGAGCCAATAAGCATGAATTGTATATATTCCACTACCTAGTACACTATTATTGATGCTCAAGAAATATTTGATATTAAAAAACAAGATATGTCAATGGGCCCAGAGTAATTCTACTATACTGAATCAAATGGTGACTAAAAATGCTTTATTTCACTCTTTTATTTTGTAGGTATTATTATTTGGCATTCAGAGCACATCAAACACCTCTTGCTAGCAAAGAGAGCTGTGTCACTATCTTGGAAAAGTCCAGATTAGATCACTGGCTGCTGGGAAAAACAAAGGTAGTTCTTTCTTTGTTGTTTAGATTGTCACTCGAGTTGCTCTGCTGTGAACCTTTGTCTCTTATCAGTGATTTGAATAGCTCTGTAAATTGTGTAGCTTAGCAGACAAGACCCCAAGCTAACAGTGATTTTTGCCGGCCTTGGGTCAGGAGTCCCAGGACCTCAGTGACCAGAGGAGGAGAATTTGCCTCCTGTTCTGCATGTAGTGAGAACCATTTAGCATTTCTAGAATGAGACCTTTGAGCTCATTTTTAAATGTCCCTTTTTCAATGCTGCTTATTCCAGCACCGCAGGCAAATACACAAATTATACGAATGACAATGAGTATCTTTTATAGTTTTGTGCATTTCTTTTAGACTCGTGATATTTCCTGCCCACTCCGATTAGTAGTCTCATCATGTCCAGCTTTTCATTCAGGGGGACATCATGTCCCTGCAGGCTCCCAGGTTTTTATGGTCCGTTCTGAATTGCCCTACAAAGCCAGCCTTCGCCTGAGTGTGGATGGCAACACTGCTGCCCCTCAGCAGAAATAATTAGATCACTGTGGGTCATCCAGGCCCCAATCCCTCTGAACTTCTGTTGGCCGAGGGTCAGTTTTGTTGGTTAGCACCTCCATCAGAGCTGTGGAGAAAGAGATCAAGCTGAGAAAATGGAACTCATGGCAAAACTGAGGCTGGGCTAGAGAACATTTAGGATCTCCCAAAACCCTCTTAACTTCATCGTCTGTTTATATCAATAGTCCCACATTAAAAAAAAAAAAAAATAGTCCCACATAGGCTCAACCTTAGAAGGGGAATTGTATTTGCTTCCAAGAGGTCAGTAATGTTAGCATAGATCAAGTCACTGTAAACTTTATTTAGATGATGCTTTTAATATTTACATTAAGAATATGTTGGAGCAGAGTGAATTTCTGTTTGGGAGCCCACACGTAATGCTAAAACTGATGTCTCATTTCAGGTTTTTCTCAAGTATTACCATGTTGAGCAGTTAAATTTGCTACTGCGGGAAGTCATAGGCAGAGTGGCTGTGCTGCAGGCCTATGTCAAGGGGTGGCTTGGAGCCAGGAGATACAAAAGAGTCAGAGACAAGAGAGAGAAGGGGGCCGTTGCCATCCAGTCAGGTAAACGGTCCTGAATCTTGGCATTGCATTAAGTACTTGAGGCCACTCTCCTATTGCTCTTCTTGGTGGTTCCTTCTTCTCCCTCCGTTCCTTCCTTCTTCTTTCCTTTCTTCCTGGCTTCAGCAAATATTTATCGAGTATCTACTGCAGGCCAAACCTTGTGCTAGGTCCTGGGGATATAGCCGTGAGCAAGACCACCATGGTCCCTAACCTCCAGGTAAGCAAACAAGCCATCCCTACCTGAGGCAAGATAGAGGCGGTAGCAGTGGGTGGATGTAATATCCAAATCACACAGACGTGTGCCTCAGCTCCCAGATTAACCGCATCATATACACTTCAGGTCCATTACCAGGTTTTCAACATCAGAATTGCTACTGCCACGTGCATGAGGCTTTTCTACCCCAGACAGAGCTTGTAAACCAAGGGAACAAATCACTAGGCTCTGTCATACGCCCAGCCCAGTCAGTGCCTCTTTACATACACGTGTGTCATTTGTGCTACAAACAGCATTTGAGTTCCTGTGCTATCTCGAGTGGTTGTGAAAGCCCCAGGTCTTGAACACAGTAGATGAATTCCTTTGTGTTCTCATAACCCAGTATCATAATGTCCCCTCCGGACTTCATGACCTCACTCAGCGACTGGAGAGCTGTGGTGCTCAGGGCGAGAACAAAAAGGAGAGCTGGTCATGCTCCTGGTAGCGGCTCAATGCCCTGGTTCTCTGTCTGAAGAACTTAACACCCTGCCCCCTGCCCCCAGGTTCCCTTTTCCTTTCTCTTCGTTTCTGCATCAATTTCCCATGCCTTTTCCCTTCCTATCACATGCATTCCCTCCCTGAGCACAGTTCTGCACATAGTCGTCCCTCACCAAATGTAACTGTGATGCTACTAATCATTATTATTTATTTTTCTCTCCTTCAACTTTCATGTTTATTCCTTCCTCCCAATAAAAAATATGGAGTGGGTTGGGCTATTCCAGTCCTCTCCCACCCCCCGAGTCCTGAAGACAGAGCTTCCTCCATGGATTGGAATGACAGGGACCCACCTCACCTAGATAGGGGTCCCAAGTGATTCATAAGTGGAATCCAGAGGGTTCTGGAAACTCACTGCCTGAACCAAAATAACTCCTTATCAAGAAGCATCTTGGAGGCCAAGCTGAGAGTACAGAGAGGCCCCTCTTCCCCACCATCACTCACGTAGCTCTGCTTATTTTGTTCAGTGAGAAAGTAGGAGGGAGGAGGAGAGGGGTAATAGATTGGAGGGAAAACAGCTTATATCAATTCTCTGGCACATTCTTAAATTAATGTCATTCCTAGCACATGGTTTTATATTTTTAGCCTGGAGAGGATATGATGCTCGGAGGAAATTTAAGAAAATAAGCAACAGAAGGAGAGAGTCTGCTGTTCATATTCAAGCAGGTAATTAAAACATCATTTTCATAGTGTCCACTTGGAAATATTCTGTGATTAAGTTCATATGAGTTTCAAAAAGCTGAAATGTTAATAATTCAGGAGCACTGGAATAGGAGTCAAGAGTTCTAGTGAGGGAGGGTTCTAGTGCTTGTTCTGATGCACACACACACACCCCCATGTGATAATTGTGAGAATTGGCTGCATGCCATACTTGGCTAAGGATGCTCCAAGTAGGTACCCTTGTATTCCAAATTTTATGGAATACAAGAGAGGGAAAATGAGGCACAGAGAAGTGAAGTAACTTGTCCATGATCATACAGCTAGTCAGTGACAGAGCGAGAATTCGTTCACAGGCAGTTTGGATAGATTCCACTTTGCATACTGCCAACTGAACAAATCCCTTTCCCTCTTGGAGTCACCCATCCCTCGTCTGTGAACAAGAGCATTGCCTAAAAGACGTCTTCCAACCTTGGAATTCTTTGATTATATGCTTGACCAGTCTCTTGGTATCACAGAGATAGGAACAGCTCAGGGACTTTCCTGGCTAACTGAGTTTCCCACACCCAGACCTGTATGTGGCTAAGGCAGTCCTTTGGGCCCTACAGGGTGAGGGCACTGTGGCTCAGCTTGTGGCTGCCTGAGCACCTCGAGCTCTGGTGCCTGGCTCCCAGGTCATCCTGCTCTTCTGCGAATGGCAGTACCCACGGTGGCTGCGAGGCCCAGCTCCCTCTGTCATTTGGAGCTGCATGTGACTAATTGAGGCTCTGGAAGAAGCAGGCCACAGAGCACACCGGGAGCTCCTAGAGCACAAGAAATCGGAGGCAGAATGAGAGAGAAGTGGCCAGTCCAGTGGACTCAGCAGCAGGGAGAGGGAGAGGGCTTCAGACACTGCCACGCATGAAGCCAACGTTTAAATACAACAGCTGCAACATTTTCGAGGAGGCCCCTGCCCAGAGCCTGGCTCCAGGGACACTCCTCGGAACTCTCCGGCCCGGTGAAGACCTGACGACTTCATTCAAAACCAAAATATCTGGGAGGAAGGGGTGTCATTTAAATCCAAATGTGTAACTTTTAAGACCATCCCCTAGGAATTCTAAGCTCTACAACTTCAAAGCATCAGGAAGAAGGATGCAATTCTAGTTGCAGCTTAAGAAAGACAACTCAAAGTGCATTTTTTTCTCTACCTCCCCACTGCCCAACACACACACACACGCACACGCGCACACACACACACACACACACACACACACAGTACTCCCCACCCCTGCCCCCGCCATTAAGAGAGGATGCTGGACTGATCTTGCCGTTTGGCCCAAAGCCCAACATACATTTTCAGATATAAACTTTGAGCTTATATATTGTTGAGCCACTGATCATAAATAAAGTATGTGGGATTGTAAATCAAATTTTCTCTCTCTGAAAATCATCTTTAGAGGGCTCCCTGTTTGCACTCTGTTATTGCCAAGTGAACACTGCATAAAAACAGACAAGTGGGCAGCCTCATCACATCAGGACAGTCAGGATTTCATCTCTTCACTGCAGCACCTATGGGATAGGTACCATGGGAGGGTACTTTTGTTTCATGGGACCACAGAGAACACATTTCTTTAAGGAGCTCCCTCTTGTTGCTTCTTTTTTTCCTTTAGCCTTGCAAGCACCCCCCTTCTTAGCCTGGCAGCCATCGTTCCTGCTTATCAAGTGGCATCGGGAGCTTCTGAGTCCGCAGGGGCTTAGGCGGGCATGTAGTCATTGAGGGTGGTACTCATGCCACTTTGCCCTCTTGGCAGGAGAGTGTTTCAGCCAGAGCAAAAGCAGGCAGCATCACTTTGCCCTTCAGCCAACACCATGGACAGGAACTGAGGTGCTGGTTCAGTGTTAGTGGTAAAGATACTTAGATAGGGTAACAACGTTTGCAATTTTATGGGCAGTTTACTTTTACTTGAGAATGTTTTCCTTATCTTTAGAGTCAAAGGCAATGTGTTGATCTAAAAAGCAAAGCAACTCATTCCAAAGTCTCCGTTTTGGGGTGTGCTCTTCCCAAAGCATAATCCTCTCATTCCAAGCTCTTCTTCGTGCCACTAAGACATTTCAAGTAGAACAAGCCCCAAACATAGGGGTGCTCTTACTTTTGAAGCCTGCAGAAGTGGCTTAGGGATGTTATCATAACGTAACCGTTTCTGGATATTTTCTAAGGTTATTCTGTAATTTATTATTTTTTTCAACAAATCATTTCATTTGAAATTTAGATTCTGTGCTATGTGTTTGTTTATATTTCAAGTTCTGGCCGATAGTCTTTTTTTTTTTTTTTAATCGTGTTGCTGAGCTATGTTATATAGTTTTAAAAGAACAGCCCTTGAAATTTAGGAAGCATTTGGCCTACATGTTGCTACAGAGCAGCACATATTGAAATTTGTTTTCCTTTCATCTCCTTCCCAATAAAAGCAGCCGCGCGGCTTATCCCTTTAGCTTCCTCAGAACTTCCTTTCAGAATTCCCGATCTATTACGGCACATTCACATACCAGAAACAAGATGCCTTTTCATGCTGTCAACCTTTTTCATCTGAAATGTAAATTAATTCTTGCTGGTATGCCTTGACAGAGATCAAAGTCGAGGTATTAACCTTCCCGGGCTTTCTCCAGGAATCCGTCCCCAGGACCGGGCTGCTGTTGTTAGGAGGCCGGTGTCCCTGTTACACCAGGGCCCTCCTCCAGGCAGTCCTCGGCCTAGGAGCCGCCATCTCAAAGGCCCAGGGTCCTTTTGGAAGTGACCTCATCAGTACTTTGAAGCAGGTGAGGAACGATCCACCTAGCTAGTCTTGGGAGAGATGAGCCTTCTCATTTGAATTGTGGGCCCTTCACTCAGATTCCTGGAGCTTGTTAAGTGGTTCTGACAGCTAGTGATCTGGGTGTGATACAGGGAGGGACAGGGCTCCAGATTGGAAACCTCTCCCTTTGCTCTGTGGGTCTTTTCTTGCCTGTCAGTCTTTGAGGTAGGCCACATTTGCATTTTCAAAATAAACAGATGCCTTTCAAATACATGAGCTGGTGGTCTCGAGATCTCTGTGGGCCCGAAACTGTTCACCAGCCAGGGAGCAATGCTGGAAGAGAAAACAAACAGAAAAACACGCCTGGCACATGCGCACACGTTTTCTGTGCGCAGAACATTATGCCGGCAATAAAGGGCCTTTGTGAGATGTGGGGTCGCAGGGAGAGAGCTAGCTGGGGACCTGGGCAAAAGTATCCTTTATCAGTTTCTGTTTTTGGCGGGGAGGGAAACCACTTTGATTGTCACCTTGGTGAGAAGTGGCATGCTTTATTGTGTTTTTATTATTGATTAATGCTGATAATAGGCTCTTACCATAGGAAAACACACTCCTTTAAACACCAAAGAATTAAAAACATGTACTTTTTTAATCAGAAAAATAATTGAGCACCTATTAGTGTTCAGATACATGGGGTATTCTAAGTAAAAACTAATAGTTGTATGTCATCCCATCACTAATCTGTTTTTTTTCCCGAGTTTCTAGTGTTTATTTTTTTTAATTTTTATTGGAGTACAGTTGATTTACAATGTTGTGTTAGTTTCAGGTGTACAGCAAAGTGAATCAGTTATACATATACATATATCCACTCTTTTTTAGATTCTTTTCCCATATAGGTCATTCGACAGTATTGAGTAGAGTTCTCTGTGCTATACAGTAGGTCCTTATTAGTCATCTAACTAATCTATTATTTTTTAAATGAATTCTTAAGTTTCAGAAAGTGGATATAACTAGATTTTGTCAACTAAAATTGCATACCTTCCTAAGTAAATACTATCAGAACAAACAACCTGCAGGGAATTTTAAAAAATATCTACAGTGTCTCAGTCTTTTAAGTTTTTGAAAGCACAATTTAAAAAAAATTGCCCCTCTAATTCAAAATCTTTTTTTAAGCGAGAGCAAAGTGCTGGGCTCCCCATGTCACAGGGGAAAAGCCTCAAGTAGGTGACAGTGGAGCCCTAGAGGCTGGGAAGGAACTGCAAAGAGTGTTTCCAGGAGGAGCTGGCTTTTCCAGCCTCCCTTCCCGCCTGACCCCCGCAGCCACCCCTGGAGCAGGAAGAACCCATTGGTTGATAGCACTTTTTCATCTAATTGCTTCAGTGCTGTGGAAATTGTCATTTTCTCTTTCTCTCTGTCCTCTGGTCAGCTTCCTACTTACTCCCCTCCTCGGTCCTCCAGGAGATAACAGCACTAAAATCTATGGCCGTTTCTCCCTCTGATGCCCTTTGGGGGGAGTGCTTTCTGGAGCGGCAGCCTCAACCGTGCGGAGGCTGAGGGGGCCTCTTCCTTGAGCCTGTGAGCAGGCATTTTAAACCAGCTGCAGCTGGAACCTCTGGGCAGCGCATCATGTGACTCCAACCAATGAGAGTTGCTTTAAATGCAGCTTCCAGAGAGGAAAGCAAGCAGAGAATCCAGACAGGCTCTGCCCCCCTCCAGGTTAACTTCTTATAGAAACCCGACCCCTACCTCACGTTGGAACCAAGTTTTTAGTGTTTAAAACTGCCTGAACTTTTCAATCTCTCTCAGGGTAAGGCCTCCTCCTGGTCTTTTCTAACTTTGAAAGGCTGGTTCCTTTAGCATTGTTGGTGGGTTGGCAATGACTAGGTGGTTACAGTAATTTCCTAGAACGAGATTTCCAGAAATACCCCTAGGTGCGCAGGACAACTATATTTTAAATTCGGAAATTTCTTTCTTTCATTCACTTATTCAACTACTGTTTAAGTACCTGCTTTATGTTGGAGCTACTACCAAGATGAGCAATAGGATTTCATTTGGGGCCTCAAATTTTCCATCTTCAATACAGAGGGCTAAAAAACATTCTCTCCCTCAAATGGATGCTGTTTGTATAATCAGGTCCTCTATATTATGTCAACGTTCAATGGAAGGGAGTTGTGTAAAACTCCAGAGAGTCAAAATCATTATAAAATATAGCTGAGGATATACACTGAGAATGGCCCATGCTTC